GGACGAACCCGTTCAGAAGTTATGAATTTTTCAAAAATGCTATGTCTATTTGGATCACAATTAAGACCATGAAAACGAGGTCTATCAAGTTTTCATTACGCTTGATTTCAAAAATTTAAGTCCACCCTGCGCGATTACGCATTTGAGTTAACACTGAGTTGGTGTACTGAAAGTTTTTAATGGCTTTTAGACGATTTGTTGCTCGAAGAGGTAGGGTAAAAGTTGGCTTTCCGACAATGGAACAAATTGTGAGTTTAGGCTAAACCTTTAAACAAATTGTGAGCATCTATGAAATTTGTTCCATTTGTAAAAACCGTACAGGTGAAAATTTCAAATCTTCGTGCTGTGTCTACGATCTCCGGTTCTCCTGCGGAATACGCCGACACCTTGGATTGGCTGGTGCGCCGCTGACGCGGCGCGCCTCCACTCCTGAGCGCGCCGCTACTTCTAAGCGCACCGCTACTTCATTTTCTTCACCTTCTTCCAAATTCTTCCTTTCTTTTAAGCTAGCGCTATACTCTTCTACCCATCGTAGGGGATGTACAAGTTACCGATTTGCCATAAAATTTTCAACCGATGAAGAATACATAGGAGGTTATCAATTCGAAGCGTTGTTTTTTTTTATGTATGATCGCGCATAACCTTTTACAGAAAAGTAAGATTTTTATAATACTTTTTTATTGGAAAAGGTATACTCCGATGTTGGTAAAGATAGATCAGTTAGTTTAAGAGTAATAGTCGTTCAACTTGGGTATTAGAACATTTATTATCTAATAAAAATTCCTCAGTAGAATACATTAAAAGTGATTTTGATGAAGTAATTGCGGGCTTATATCGCGTAAAATCTAAAATTAACAAAATTTCAAAAAGCTATTTAAAAAAACACAATAAAATATCTACGGAACCCTACACTGCGCGTGGCACGACACGCACTTGGGCGGTTCATATTTTTTTGATTTTCAGTTTTATCTGCGGGTTATTTTTTTCTAAAAAGTTTTGAATTACAAAAGTGGCACTTTTTTCTCAAGCCAACCAAGGTTGTGCAACACGTCACGTTGCATCCCAACTAACACTTAGGCGCTAAGACAAGAGTTATAGTAAATCTATTAAAGAGCTAACCAGATCCTAAAGTTATAAATAAGTGTTACCCATTCGGAGTTAGAGCGCGCTATATCTCTACTGTACCCCCGAAATGGGCACACTTTTTTATCACCTTAGGTTGTTTAATTGCGGTAAATAAGAGTTACATAATAGGTTAAGAGGTATAATAAAGCAATAAGAGAGCTATAATAGCGATAACTGAAACTACAAGGGATAAAAACGTGATAAATAGGCGAAAATTCACTCCCTTAGTGGTACAATAGAATAAAATATCGTTTATTAACCCTTTGGGTGCTAAAAGGGCTGCAAATAGGTGGATACTAACTCCCTAAGTGGTATGGTAGAACTAATATGTCGCTCACTATATTTTTAAGTGATAAGAGAGTGGCAAGTAGTTGATTATTACCGTTTTGAACTCTAATATAGACGCACAAAAGCTATAAAAAGGACTTCAGGTGCTAACTTTTTTAACTTCTAAGACTATTTTTTTATTTCGTCAACATAATTTAACCTCTCGTTTTTATGTGCGAACAGTGCGTATGTTAGTATTTGTCGCATCCAAAACGCCGCCATTCGTTTGTGAAAATGAAATTAAAAGTATAATCTTTTAGTTTCAACCTAGTGGACACAGAAGTTGACTTTTTACTGCGAAGATAAGTACACTGTGAATAAGTATATGTATTATTAACAAATTATTCAAGCGCCTGATGTCTGTTGTCTATTTACTGAAAAGAAATATTTTATTAGATATGGAGTAACATAAAACTTTTGTAATAATCTAATAAAACGTTGCCTATTCTAGTTAAAGGTATTGTGCTAGTAGTGTTAGAACACAATAAAGCAAAATACTTCAATTAAACCGTGTTTTTTTATGTTTTTCTAACCTTTTTTTAGTTGCGTCGCCATTGCATTACTATCAACAACAAGTAAACGAATGAGGGGTACAGAAGTGGTATTAAGCTCTATTACTCTACCTAAAGTTATACAGAAGTCACAATAACCACTAGAAGTTCTATCATAGCGAAGAATGTTTCTGCTGTTCGACTTTTAGTAACTTAAGAGCATTTTGAACCTCTTTAGGCATTTGGTGGTACAAAAGAATTTATGAGCACCATTGTGGAACTGGTAGTGGTAATTATTGCTTTTGTGCAACTTTTGGTTCTTGGCGAGAGTTTATTATCGCTTGCATAGCACTTTGGGGGGTTGTAGTCAATGCTCACTTCTTATTTAGATCTTATAGTTGTAAGATTCACTTAAAGCTATAACACAAGATGCTTTGCCCATATTGTAGAGTTAAAAGTGCTGCTGTATGTCTTTAACCTTTAAACTCACCCTGTTATCACCCTTGTAATTCTGTGGTATAGCTCTACGTGAAATATTTTGCTTGTTTACGCTCTTTTGTCGCCAAAAGTTGTAAGTGCTGCTGCTGTAGCGCCTTTATATCTCGATCAGTTCTAAAACAAGCTCTAATTGACGCCTAAATGTTTATTGGGATATAAGTAATTCAAATACTGTGGACAGATACTCATGCACAAATTACTAACATTCCGTTTTATAGTAAAATGCATTTACTTATATAGTTAATTCGTTGTACATTGTCAACTTTGTTCGTCAAACCACCGAGTAAATAAACTACATCAAATCCAACGGTTGCTAAGAATCAACCTGCGTTTAATATATACTCAAAGCTTAAACTCAATAACCTACTATATCATACTAATCAACTTTTGTTTTTGAGGTATGTTTCAGGATTCATTGTTGTTTGACCACGTTTCTCTGCTTGGCAGTTTCACCTTGTAATATCAGGCAAAATTAATGAGTGGAAGCATGACATCTGTAGTCATTGCTAGTGGTACCCTTTTAGGTAGGTATATATATATATATGTGTTTTGTTTTCATTTGACCGTATTATGGCAGAACTACACTTATCTGTCGTGTTGTGATTGTTACGCATCAGAGTGCTATCTGTTTCATAGTTAGTTAGAGTGAGAACGCTGTCGACACATTGCGACATACAAGTATAGTTCTAACCGTAATTAATGATGAAACAGATCGCGTCACAACACAACACGTAACATAAACATAGTTTAGCCTTTAATTTACTATTTCTGCAGCCGTCATTTTTATCTAAAAATCGTCCCATTACAGATTTCGAATCGCCGAAACACGACGCAGGTGTACTGGCAACACTGTGTTTGTTTGTTTCTCTGGACAGTTTTTGGCGGAATACTGGCGAGATCTGCGTAACTGAAGAATTAGTGGAATCTTTAAAATATACGCTATTCCGGTCAAAGTGGACGTGAGAACTTTATTGTAGTGCTGACTTCTCACAGAAGCTTATCGAAAAAGCGAACTCGATACATTTCGTGCCAAACACTCCAACAAACATTAGAATGCGTCACACCGACATTCTAATGTAAAAATAAAAAGAAGATTAATATAACATAAGATCATGCTGTATGGGCATTGTTCCCTTTGCCTTCCGTGAATCTTAAAAAAATCTGTTGCTTTGTTTCTGTCATAGGTAGTCTGTGGTCATAGGCAAAGAGTAGGGATGTGACATTGTACAAAAATAACTATTTTTAATTAATCGATATTTTTGATCATGAAAAAATTTATTTAATAAATAATCGATTTTTCCCAAAATTGTGAATAGCAAAATTTTCAAAATAAACGCCATAAATATTACATCAATAGATTTATTAATTAAAAATAAACAACAGAAAAAGTAAGTTCTTATATAATCAATACATATTAAAGCTTTATTTAGAACCAGCAAATTATACAAGGTTCAAATTAAAATGTTTTTCACATAAATTAACAAAATTAAATTATAGAAATAAATAAAAAAATAATGTCGTTAGGAATATCGATATTTTGAATTTTAGCTCTTAATTTCAGTTACCGATAGGCTTAATTCGTTTAGCACGGATAAATCAAGCATTTAAATAACACAACGAAACGAATGAATTTGTTTCTTAGGTTTTCACGCACATCACTCATTAAATAAAACTAGTTTTAACTCGTTAAAACTAGTTTTATTTAAGTAGAATAAATATACGTTCTCCTAATTTAGTTATTTCCCTCAGTCAACGCAACGCAATGGAAGTCGAAATCCTTTTTTCGCGATAAACACTAGCAGATTGTTTGTTGATTTTTGTTTTTAATAAATTGTCAAAATTAAATCTTAAATTAATGTTGGTGTTATAATTGCAAATATTAAAAGACAGTGAATTTTGAAAGTGTAAATACATAGATGAAAATTACAGTTAAATTTATTTAGTATATTGTTGTATGTAAATTATATATTTTCAATATGTCGAGAAACGAGAAATACTGAAATTTTGAACTTTTTTAAAAAAGACAATGTTATTAAAAACAGTGGAGTGCAATGTAAAAAAATCCTTTTTATATAAAAACAGCGATAAAAAAATTCAAAAACCCTAAAAAAATTATTTACGTGTAAACATAACGATGCCTTAAAGGCTTATAAGTTTTTAATACATAAATGACGTAGAGCAAAGCTATTTCTTGTAGCGAAACGTCACATTAAGCACATAAGCTTAAAAAGCTTTTAAGGCAACGTTATTTTCCTTTAAGTTCAACTTATTTAACGTTGTGCGATATAAGCAGTTTAGACTAGAACAAGTCTATTCATTGGTAGTTCGCGTTCCGGGCTTCGGGCCAGGAAACCAAACTTAATGTCGGAGAGTTACAGATGAAAAATCTTGTTGTCAAATGAAAAACTAAAAAAAAATGCTTGAATGATTATTAAAAAAAATCAATTTTTAAAAGATTATTCCAAAAAAAAAGCACCTGTTGAAATCGATTTTTAAGTAATTTTTATTCAAAATCGATTATGTTTTCACAACTCTAGCAAAGAGTAGTATATAAATTTTAAAGGTTTCTGTTGTGTTGTGTATATTTTGCATTTTTTTGTAACATTGTATGATGTGTTATTGTGTTCAAACAAACCCATATGTTATACCCAAGCTATTCATAAACCGAGAGTGACAAATACGTTTAAGAAAATCTTATTGAATGTATTGAAGAATACTTACCTAACCACACTTTCATGTGGCTTACTTTAGACATTTTAGATGAGACTAAACTTTTCATTCCTGTTTTAATAAATCAAGTCGAACCACGGCGTCAAACAAATCGGAAGAATCTGCCCATTTAGAAGCAGAAAATCGATATAAGGTAATATATTAGTTCTGAATAATGTGCCATTCCATGTTCGCGCCAATAATGTTGTATAAAGTAACCCTATTGTCAGTTACGCGATTTAAGAAGTTTATATTATGCTTTTAAATAAATTATTTAATGAAGCATGCTCACAAAATATTTTTATTATTATAACAAAGAATTTGTGAGTAGGTATCCTTTTATTCCGTTTTACTCATGGACCCTATTTACAGATGCCAGCAGCCAGTTTCGGTTCTTTGTCGCAACTGCCAGCAAATGGGGATTGTGGTATTAAAGATGTATGGAACCATAACCTGCATGAAGAATTTCAAATAATAAGACAGGTATTTATTAAATTTTTCAATTCTACTAAATCAAATAACTTCAAAGATTCTAATTGAGATCTGGGGCGAGTTGAATTGTTTCTGGCTCTGTAGCTCCCATTTTGTGCTTTAAAGAGAGAAGAGAAAGGCTTTGTTCAATTAGATAAACTAGTGTTATAATATGAAAATGATCCCCTGCCCACGTCATTTGAAGGTAGGTAGAAAGGGCAAGAGCTCTGGTCAAATTAATTAACATAATCACTGTAAGACTGACCTGGCTATAATCTATCTACTGTGGAATTTAATCATCATCGAGTTGTGAAGTTGTCTCTTGATTGAGAAGGGCATTCATTTATGGACTTATCATGAAATTTCATGATAAGTCCATAAATGAATGCCCTTCTCAATGTTATATTAAGATTAACTATATTATAATGGAAAATATCTATTATAATTAAATTTATTTAACCAATATATTTTTAAACAGGTAGTCCAAAAATATCATTGGGTAGCAATGGACACTGAATTTCCAGGTGTGGTAGCTCGTCCTATAGGTGAATTTAGGTCCACAGCTGACTACCAATACCAACTGTTAAGGTTTGATATGACATTGAATGAATAATAAAATATTTTTTATTTCAAGGATGGATTATTGAGAACTTTATATTTACAGGTGTAATGTTGACTTGTTAAGAATTATACAGTTAGGACTTACATTCATGGATGAAAATGGCAAAACTCCTCCTGGATACACTACATGGCAATTTAATTTCAAATTTAATTTACAGTGAGTGCCTGCCTATATGTTTAATTCTTGGAATTGTGTATTCCAATATAAATTACAAATGGTTATTGTTTCCAGAGAAGACATGTATGCACAAGATTCAATAGATTTGCTTCAGAATTCAGGTCTACAATTTAGAAAACATGAAGAAGATGGCATAGAACCACTGGAATTTGCTGAATTACTGATGTCATCTGGTAAACGATAGTTTAAATTGGATATCATTTGACTAAACATGATAGCAAAGTTATTTTACCAGCTAAGCTTTGTTCAGTATCAGCACTTAGAATCATGAATTCTTAAAGATCTGGTGTATCATTAAAAATCACTGAGAGTTTTCCATTTAGAAAAAAAAGTCGACACTGTGTTGCACTGTGTCGACGATACTATAGCAAAAACCTAATGCCAACTAAAGCTTGGTAACTTCAATACTTTTCATTGGTAACAGTGTTACCAAGTGTACCAGTACCAGTGTCGACTTTTTTTTCTAAATGGAAAACACTCACTGTTTTTCAGTGTTGAGCTTATAAACTGATTTTGTGTCAATTGATCATTAAGGAGAATTATATAGAGATTTTCATTATTATTAATATCATAAAGAGGCTTGTTAACTGCCAGAGTATCTATTAGTAGTAAAACAAATAGTTTTCAGTCTGTCAATGTTATCATATAAAAGGAGGTTGTCCCTCATCTCTTATAATATATAATTAACATAATAAGGTACTATTTAGGTACTAAGCTTACCAATTTTTTCCAGGTCTTGTCCTCATGGATAATATAAAGTGGTTAAGTTTCCATTCAGGTTATGACTTTGGTTACCTGTTGAAACTACTGACTGACCAGAATCTGCCGCAAGATGAAAATGACTTTTTTGATAGTTTACGAATGTACTTTCCAACAGTTTATGATGTCAAGGTAAGAATATATCATTATGTAATTAGTCACTATAATCATACTTGCTGATCTAGCGACATTCATACCTCCATAAAAATAAGGGTTGTTGGTAGAAGCATAAAAATTGAGGGTTGTATGTATTTTTTTATGCAGAATCGTAATGGGGTTTATTATTATGTAAAGTAGTTTACGTCCTATTCTCAGACCTAACAACAGTCAAGCCATTTCGAAGGAGTTTTGTGACAACACAAGCATTTTATATATTACATAATCTCCTACCTGTTTGCTAGACTGAAAATCTTAAAATATTTTACTTAATTCTATTTTAATGCCTTTTACAGTATCTGATGAAATTGTGCAAAAATTTGAAAGGGGGTCTTCAAGAAGTAGCAGATCAGCTAGAATTAAGGCGTGTTGGACCACAGCATCAAGCAGGCTCTGATTCCCATTTAACGGGCATGGCATTTTTCAAAATAAAAGAGGTAAAACACTATGTTAAATTGGTTATTTTCCTTCAGTTCAAGCAGTTCCCTTGATGCTGATTGTGGAAGATCAATTTCAACTGCTTGAATAGGTAAATAACCGAAAAAAGTAGAATTGATTGTCTACTAATATCTATTCTTTTGTTAGTTGAATTAAATATATTATAGTATTGTCACAAACGCTCTCGAAACGGAACCACGAAAGTGCTAGAGATCGAATGTGCCAGTGCACCGCGGTGCACTCGAGTAATGCGGCCCCTTCTAAAATGAGCCTTATGCAGTGCGGCGTAAGGGAGAAAGTGCAACGACTTCTGCACTTCTACTCTAAAGCGAAAATTCGATTTGACAACAGTGTATCAAAAATACACTCAGGCTCTATATTAAAATAAAAAGCAAAAATAACTTTTCTCTTTTTCAGATCTTCTTTGATGATAACATTGAAAGCTCAAGTGGCCACCTCTATGGTTTAGGGGCACCATTTTCCGTCAACGTTAACAACTTCCAAGACAACGGGGAAAACGGAAATTCATCTTGATCCGGTGACTCTGCATGCTTGGGCAGACTCACACCGCAGCGAGTGTTTCACCTTACAGAATAAGCCTTTGCATGCATAAAATATTAAAATTAAATGGTACATTAAACCGTTTAATAAAGGGGGCTAATAGGGATAATGACGGAGTAAAGTAAACGTAATTCTAATTAGTCCATCAGTAAGATTATCAAAAAAAATCGACACTTATTTTTTCTTTTGTCAGTCAACCATAAAATGATAAAGATTTATCTTTGTTACCTCCACAAAGTTTGGGAAGGAGGACTTATGGCGTCATCTTTTATTAAAAATTGTAAAGAAAACGTGACGTAACGCGCCATTGCAAATCAATATTTCTATGTAATGTTTTGTTTATGTGAAAAAATAAAAAAATACGTGTTCAATACTTTGATAATCTACCTGATATATAATAAAAAAAAGTATTTCTGCTAGCGATCCCCTATTTATTTCTATACTTATTTGAAAAGTAAGATAAATACTGTTCCTCCCCATGTATGAAATAAAAATGATCGCGATTGGAGTAAAAGCTACACATCAAAACCCTTTAAATCATAAGTAACACAATGGGTATGACACGGTGATTAGTATTTACATAATACTTACCTAGTTCTTACACATGAATCTGCTATGTAAATTGCTGTGAACAAACTAGACTGGTGATTGTGTCTTTTTTTTGTGCATATATTTGTAAATAAAATCATGTTACTATTTCTGGAATCTTTCTCAAAGACTTATGGTTAATTCATACTAACGCAGTCGAATCGCATCGAAGCGAATCTCAGTAATGTGACAAAGAAATTCACCTTTTTCTCCGCAATGTAAAGTATTTACATATTCCTACTGTGAAGAAAAAAAGAGGCCCGAATTCCGCTGATTATCTATTCAGAAGGAATATGTCCATTACGTTGTAGTCATAATGGTGAATTTACTATGTTACTGTTTCTGAAATTTCTCTGCGATAGTATTAACTGACCATTATCGGAAGAGACGGATATTATTTTGAATTATTTTACATACTTATTATACTATTGGTGCCTTTAAAAAAAGGTACCTACCAATTCTTAAATGAATTGACATTAATTCAATTTTAACATTATGGAAATTATTGAAAATTGACAAAATTTAAATGAACTAATATTGATGTAATACAGAATAGATTAAGGTATTATTTTTTCTTAATTAAGATTTTATACAATAAACCGTGTAACAATATGGTACTTCCTTCTGTAAAATAAGTTATAGTGCATAATAATCAAATAATGTTACACTTTTTGATATCCATTAAATATAGATTTAAACATAACAAAAGACTTTACTTCGGTTCTATTTTTGGGATATTTCCAACGATATTAAATACCCTAGATAAACCACGTCCGCTCAAAATGTGTCCCAATCAAGAAATGCTTGAACTCCAATCAAGCATTTCTTGGTTCAGTCACGCGCGGACCGTTGAAAAGTCAATTTGCCGCAGAGCTCCGTGCAATAATGTGAAAAAAATTGAAGTAAACGGAATAGATATCTGTCAGCAAGAAGTTGACGTCTAATATTAAGTGGGGGTTCACAAGTTTCAATTTGTAATTCATTTATTGGGCTGGATCTCATAGCACCAGTTATTATTCTTAACGCTTTCGACTGAACGTTATCTAACTTTTTCAGTGCAGTAGAATTGGCAGGTTCTAGAAGAAAACTTCCGTAGTCCAGTACACTGCGGATTAATGCATTAGACACTAGTTTTAAGGATTGCGGATGGGCCCCCCCACCAAACTCCTGAATGACATCGGAGAAGATTTAAAAGTCGATCAGTTTTACTTATAATAAAATCACAATGTGCACTACCGGTAAGTTTGAAATCCAACGTGTCTCAAAAATTTTACTTGGGGTTGAATGGGAATTAATATATTGTTATAATAATATTTAATGGGGGGGGGGGGGGGGGATTCTTCTTTCGTGAGAATATTACAATAGTACTCAAGCAAATAATTCTAGACCGTTGTCGTTCATCCAAGAACTCAAAGAACGCAAAGCTGAGTTAATATGCAAAGTAGAATTATCTATGTGACGGTTTGTAGAATAAATCATCAACGTATTGCAACAACTTGATATTATTTTCAAATAAAGTTTCAAAATCGTGAGAGTATATACACTGTATATATACAAGGACTAAGAACTGATCCCTGGGGCAAGCCTCTCCATACAGTTCTTTGTATTTCAAGACTATTAGGTAAGCTAATTATTAATTTTCGTTCGGCTAGTATATTCATTATAAAATTTGTTAACATTTGAGAAACCTCTAGTATCTCTAGTTTACTTTTCAAAACTGATAATAATACGTGATCATATGCAGAATTTATATCCAAAAATACTGCTACTACGGATTCGTTATATGTGAAAGCCAGACGAATGTCGGTTGATAAAATACTTAAATTGTCCATTATACTTTTCCCCTTTCTGAATCCGTATTGTGTTTTGGATAGCATGACTCTGCTTTCTCAATACCATTCAAGGCGATTTTTTATTAAAATTTCAGTTACTTTAATTAAAACAGTTGCTAAAAGTATTGGACGGTATGAAAAGCATTTGATGGTGGTGTATTAGGTTTCAGTATGGGCAACACTATTTGTGACTTCCATGACAGAGGTATGTCACCTGTTATCATGATAGTGTTGATAAGTTGCAAGTAATAGGATAAGATGACAATTTAATCCAGAGCTACTACTATATGACGATTGCAAAACCTGTGAAGTGTTGAGCATGGGAATGGGAGTCCACGGTGGGGCCAATTTGTCCATATAACCGTTAACTATTGCAGGAGGCATAGTGACAGGAGAGGAAGTATTATAGGCGGATTTAAATCTTTTTATGTTACGCCAGACCAGGGTAGCGGGCGTGTCTGGTGAAATAGAACTGCAAAAATTTCTCCAGCTTTCGATTTTTTTCTTTTTAAATATTTTTGAAGTTATACTTCTTTAGGCGCGTTATGAAAAAATGATGAGAGTGAAATTTTAAGATGCGCGCGCATCACTGTAACACAAAAAATTAACAGCATGAAGTTGGTCGCTTTAGCGAAAATCTACCAACCAAATAGAAATAGAATCTCTATTTTGTGGGTGCTAACGACTGCATTGTGAAGGCCTATCAAAAGTATTTATTAATCTGGAACAACGGAACCAAAGCGCGATTCAGGAGACTACAGCGCCATCTCTTGACCAATGGTGTAGTAGAACCAAAAACCACATCTTTATTTTTTGTAATAAAGTAACAGTTATAGGTATTCATATTTACAATATTTATCCACATGTTTCTAGTTTGTATTTTCGGAATACGTGTTTGAGTTTCATACAAGTGCAAATCACATATGTTCTAATAAATTATATTCAGTAGCGATTTTAATTGAATATTTTGATTATTTATTTATTTTTTCAAATTAAAACTGAACTTTATTGACTGTGTCCTTTTCCAGACTTTTTATTAATTTATTATAATTAATTATTTGCATGCAATTAAAAACTAATTTTAAACGATGCCAAAGAAGGATAACTTCTCACGCGCCTACATAAGTACACGCACCCATTTTTTTTTTATTTTACTTTCTGCTACTACTTAAGTTATCATAATTAAATTCTGTCATAATAGTATTGTACATGATTTCTGCCTGCTTTCTCTTCCTCACAGCCTCAGAGCAATCCTTGTCCCACCAAGGAGGAGATGGTATTTTCATGTGGGTATTATTTTTAATAGGAAATAATTTTATGACAGCTTCATTTAAAATTCTAGCTAATGCCTCTGCACAACTGTTTTCATTTCCGGGAGTAAAAATAGGGAGAGATGATAATTTATTTTTAACTGAAGATAGTACAAATTTTCAGTTGAAAATAAATTATTCAGTCTATAGATTTTTAATCTGGTAAATTATCTGGTTCTCATCTTATCTTCTTGGACGTCAGCAAGCAGTTCGAGCCGCGTAATAACTGTACAGTCATAGAGGAGTGGACTTCAGACAGTGACAGTGGAGTGGAATTTCAACGTTAAGTCCTAGTTAATAAAACAAATCTGCTATGACTGGACAGTTATTACGCGGCCACAGCGTGGCAGCCGTATTTTTTTCGCGTCGTCTATCTGCAGCCTTCCATCTACAAAGGATTAATAATTAAGTCTTCTTACTTTAAGAATTTCACCGCAACCTATGGGAACTGAAATGTTATTTTTAACTTCCTCCAGAGACCACTGTCGCGACGGGCAAACTTGACCAAGTCGCGAAATGTAAATATTGGATATGGCAACAAAATCCTGTAATCTGTGGTGAGTAACATTAACCGATTTTTAATACTTAACCTGTGATCCGTAACTCCGCGGTTTTTTACCTGTCAGAAAAATTTCTTTTCCTTTTCGACTCCGGCTGAAATGTGTGCTGTTTGCGAAATTCTGGATATGAGAGCTAAGGATCTTCCCCGAGTCAATTAATTACTGTTTATGGTTCATGTGATGTGTATCATGTGATTTCACGTATCGATTGGTCGGTCGGAAGAAAGACTTACCTATATTAAGAGCAGTACAATTGTAACATAGATCGGCAATTGTACTGGCGAACGCTCGAGGGCGTTGCGCGGGATGTTAGTCTAGTGCACTTGACTGAACATACAAGGAGGCCAAGAGAGTGTGTGCGAGGGCTGCTCGGCACACCTTGGCTCCACGATGAACATACAAGGAGGCCAAGAGAGTGTGTGCGAGGGCTGCTCGATACACCTTGGCTCCACGATGAACAAAGGAGGCCAAGAGAGTGCGTGCGAGGGCTGCTCGGCACACCTTGGTTCCACGATGAACAAAGGAGGCCAAGAGAGTGTGTGCGAGGGCTGCTCGACACACCTTGGCTCCACGATGAACAAAGGAGGCCAAGAGAGTGTGCGAGGGCTGCTCGTTACACCTTGGCTCCACGATGAACAAAGGAGGCCAAGAGAGTGTGTGCGAGGGCTGCTCGGCACACCTTGGCTCCACGATGAACAAAGGAGGCCAAGAGAGTGTGTGCGAGGGCTGCTCGATACACCTTGGCTCCAGGATGAACAAAGGAGGCCAAGAGAGTGTGTGCGAGGGCTGCTCGGCACACCTTGGCTCCACGATGAACAAAGGAGGCCAAGAGAGTGTGTGCGAGGGCTGCTCGGCACACCTTGGCTCCACGATGAACAAAGGAGGCCAAGAGAGTGTGTGCGAGGGCTGCTCGGCACACCTTGGCTCCACGATGAACAAGGGAGGCCAAGACGAGTGTGTGCGAGGGTTGCTCGACACACCTTGGCTTCATGATCAAAGGCTTATGATAATCAAACAGGATACGCTGAAAGTGTCCTATGCCAATCATGAAATGTTATGTAAAATGAGTAGAAAATCGACGTGAATGTATATGTGAATATTGATGTGTGTGTACATATAATGTATAGGTATTAATCATGGCGAGGAAGATGCTTAGTGTCTCAACTCTGAGATTCATAGTATAATTTCTTTATACAGGTTCCTTGATGATCTTGACAATTGACGATGGGAATAAATTGAACTAAGCGAAGCAGATATCTATAGCAAATTTAACACAAGACAGAATAAGGTATGAAACATTAATATAACTTGCACTAGTATAGTAACATGTTTAAATTGTTCAATGTCGAAAGTATGAATAATTGCGGTCTGTCTCAGTCCATTGTACACCCTGTTGGTGTGGGTTGTAGGCAGACGATGAGACATGTGTGGTTCTGTGTGGTTTCTAGTTGAACCTCTAAAGAATGTGTCAGTATTTGGTAGTAGTTAATATACTTCATTGCACTAGGTGTAAAGATAAAATAAGACAACCACACAGAATGCCCACAGGGTCTTTCCGCGACAACCACTCTGTAGGAACACCTCTAACTAAACCCATTCGTGTAATGTTAAATGTTGGAATATATGCTTTTAATTATTTTTTGATAAACTGCAAAT